ACAGACTTTGTGGTTCCATTGATTCGCACCAACTCCTTTGAAGAAGCAAAATAGTGTTTCTGAAGGAGTATGCTTAGGTAAACTGTGGGAATGATAACAAACACAACTGGCCAGGCAAGAATTCCCAGCACTGCAAGCGTTAAGTAGGCATTCATGGTTGATCCAACTGCAACTACTGACTTGATAGCTATTTCAAGGTCGATGATGCTCAGATCAGAAGACACCTATGATGGTTAAAAACAAAATTGTAAGGATTGTGAGAGTTTTTCTGAAAGGGTGTTGAGCTTTTTAAACGTCTTACCCGGCTGAGTATCCTCCCTAGAGGTGTTGAGTCATAAAAGGACATTGAGGCTCTGAAAAGAGATTTCAGCAGTGTGGAGAAAATGGACTCTGATGCTCTACAACTCAGGACAACCAAATATAATGATCTCAGGAATAAGAATATTGCCAAGCCACATCCAATCAGCGTGTAAACTGTGATCAGTTTTACTCTATTGACAGTAGAATTCTGGATATCAGCAGCCAACCAGAAGTTCTGTATGAATTGCCCAATTAAGAACATCATGTGAAATATACTTGCCAAGGAAAAATATAGAAAGCCCTTATTGTGACTCAAGTACTGTAAGTAAGGCTTGAGACCAGTATCTCCTATTTCCCTTTCTTCTTGCTTGATCAATTGCTCTCCCGAAGGCACTCCTGATTTTTCCTTGACATATTCACTCTGGATTTCTCCTGTGGATTGAATAGGCAGTCTGCTACAAGAAGTCCTGACTTGCATCTCAGTCTCAGTTGTGTTGTTATGCGCATTTACAAGGTCCTGGAATTCTTGACTTGAAGACAGAAGCTCATTGTAAGTATTATCTCTTATAATTTCTCCACCAGACATCAACTGTCAAGAGAAATAGATTTAAAACAGTGACCAAGACAGACAGTGTATGACAAAGAAATGAGAAAATGTTAAACAAATAAAAGTAGCTAACCAAGATAGAAGAAAAAGCTGGAAGAAAATCAACTTGGTGTGTGACGAGTAATACTGTCTTCCCTGACAGAGCTCCCATGATATAGTCCTGAAAAAAAGGGAAATTAATTTTCAGTGTGAAGATTGGATCTGTGATTGTAGATTACAGAGAAATGGAAGACAAATCACATTGAAAAGTCTTGTTGCAGTATGTGCATCTACTGCACTGAAGGGGTCATCCAAGAGATAGATATCTGCATCCTGATACAATGCCCGTGCTAGCTGAACCCGCTGCTTTTGTCCACCACTAAGATTAACACCTCTTTCACCTATTTCGGTAAGGTCCCCGTATGGAAGCATCTCCAGATCTTTTACTAGGCAACACTTCTGGAGCACTGCTGCATATCTAATCGGATCCATCACTAAGCCAAACAGAATATTTTCTTGTATACTCCCTGTCTGGATCCATGCTGTCTGAGAAACATATGCTATTTTTCCATGATGATCAACCTGATGGAGACAGAAGCTTAAGTGAGACATCTATGTAATTCGAACTAACTGAAGTGAAGTATCATAATATCAAAAATTTTCTTCAAGGAGGTTATGTTAATCATTATTCCACTTACAATGCCCTTGATATTTGGAACTTCTCCAAGAACAGCTGCTAAAACAGTTGATTTGCCTGAGCCAACTTCTCCACAAATAGCAACCTTTTCCCCAGGTTTAATTGTCAAGTTTATGTTCCTTAAAGTGGCTCTGGAGGAAGGATTAGTGTCCCAAGAAATTTCAGTGCACCTGATAAAAACAGGGTGTTCACACACTATGTCATTGCACTTCGGCTGTAGATTTCTGTTTGTCAATTCTGGTTCCTGAAGAAACCTCACAATCCGATCCAGGGAAACCTTTGCTTCAATGAACACTCCAAGAACATCTGGAATCAACCTAATTGGCTCCTGAACAATGCGGAGACAAGATAGAAATGTGAAGGCATTTGCAGCATCAAGTGGAATACCGAGGAAATAGCATGTCCAGAAGGTAACAACCGGTACTATAGTTGGAGATGACCAAAACAGAACCAGATTCCACCCTTTTTGTGCCATAACACCTGATATCCACTTGAATTCTTCTTTCCTCAGTCCTTCTATAACATTCTTGAAATGTGTTTCCCATGCATACAGCTTCAAGACCTTCATATTTGCAAGCGCCTCTGTGATAGCCTTCAGCCTTTTACCTTGTGCCACCATTAGCTTTTTCTGATACTCATGTTGTAATTTGACCAGTGGAGAACACGCAGCAACAGTCAAAACAATAGCAATTAAAGCCGCAACACTTGCCCATCCCACGGAATAGTACACAGTGAACAACGCAAGGCATAACTGAAGGCTTGTTGACCATATTTGATGAAACCAATACGGAAACTCACCTATTCTGTATGCATCTAGACTGACATAGTTGACAATCTCACCCGGAGAATGAGTCATTCTGGCACTATTTGATAGCCGAAGTTGCTTCTGATGTATTGCCGCAGAGAGTAAAGACCTTACTTGAAGTCCAACCAGTCTTGTTCTAAAGAACCATTGCCTCTCAGAGAGTGACTCCAAGCATTTTGCGACGAAAAGGCCAACAGTCAGCAAATAACTTTCGTGCTTAAATGCTTCTTTGCCTTCAGCAACCCGAATAAAGGCTCTAAGAAACAGAGGTCCTGTGGAGAGTGAGAGAACCTTGACCAGCGCAAAGAACCCAGTAACAAAAATGGCTTCCCAATACATAGAAAGAAGTATAGAAAACATTGGTGGAGGATCAGTTCTTTCTTTTTGTTTATGTTTGCTCAGTTGTTCCATATACATTAAGTAGCATGTCTGTGCTCGATCTGCCTCTCGCAACTTTGGTATATCTTGTTCCTCCAGAATTTTCTCTCTGCCCTTCTTCATTAATGGATTCAACCACCAGAACGACATCTTACTGAAAAATCCAGCTTTTGCAAAGGGCGTAACAGGACAAGAAGTGATTTGACCAGTTGCATCAGGGTCCTCTCCTTGCAAGGGCGTATAGCAAGCATCAGCATTTACTGGATAAGTATCCACCGAATCATGTTGTTTAAAGGCACAGAAAAGCAGTAAAATTGACCCAGGAAAAGATAAAATATCCAAAATGATCTTAACTGAGATGGTTCTATCTGTAATGGCCTCTTGAAGAGATGAAATGCAGAGAAATCCCGCATACAAGAAGGCAAGAGTTGAACAGATTTTCACTGATCTTATAGGAGGAAGATTTACCGCATTAAGGCTTATGAATAAGCTCATCAGAAACCACGTGAATCCTTGAAAGAACACTACTAGCCATCCATTTAGAGGCAAAATTGTGTGATCAGCACTCAGCTTCTGGATAATTACCCATATCCCCCAGCCAAAGTAAGCAG